TATATATATATATATNTATGTATATATGTGTATGTATGTATATATATATATATATATATATATATATATGGATATAGATAGAAATGAAAGATATGTATAATGAATCTCACTTGTTTAGTTCAAGCTGAAGTCTACGTTTGTGGTATTGCCTTCTGTAACAAAGAATTATTTTCTCATAATTACAGTATATTCAAACATGTGAATAAAAACCAGATCATATCGATACACCCGTTGCAGGTTTGGACACTATTAACAAGCATATCGTCATGTCACAGACTGTAGTGTAGACGGTGTATTTACTCTCATAAGCTTAATGGTGGGATGCGTAGCATAGATAAATCAATAGTGAGTTGATAATTTAGATTCTCGTGGCCCACAAACAGCCTTTAAAAAACGAACAACAAAGATTTTAATACTAACTTTAATGGATTCTTTCTTCCATAGATCAAAATTACTTAACAGTCACTGACTAAAAAGCGATCTCAATCCTAAAGATCACTCATGCCCCCTCGACTGCGTCCAAGTCTGCTTTGTGTAAACGACGGCTGAAGCGCTGACATCTCATCGAGAACAGTTGGGGCGACATATGTGAAGCCTTGGAACACGTCTCCCTAAAAATTAATCATGAAACAGAGGATTGGTTACGTACAAGGTACTATTAAAATATTCCAGCCCTGAGATAGACTAGACAAAGCGTTCGTAACCATCAATGCCAGGCCATAGAGTAAGATGTAAATAAAAGACATAGATCAGACTGAGGCAGTTCAATGTGTGAATAATAAATACACACGCACACGATTAATGTCATGTACAGATAGGAAACGAGTCGGAAACACTTACCCGGCTCGGACTTAAATGGCCCTCGCACGGCGAATCGACCGCGGGCTGAGAAGTAAATCGTGTATCGAAGTAACTCACATCCTCTTGATCGCGCTGTATAATCATTTGCGTAAGATCATGAGATGCGCAGCTCAAAACACAACCGGTAGTGGAAGGAAACGTAGCACAATAGTGCAACAAGCGCAAAGCAACTCCTTTTTGCAACCGCACAACCGCGCTTGTATCTCATAGATAACTACTTTAAGACGAAGAAGTGACCTGCTGCATACCAATGATGGCTTGATGGGCGGCTCCAGCTCCCTCCGTAACATTGCATTCCAATCCACGCCAGCGAAGAAAGGGTGCTGCGGATGTGTGAAAATAAACTCAGTCAAAACGAACTGTAGGAAGAAGGATGGCTACGAATATGTCAGATCCAGCTATATTTAGAGCGTCATTGGGAACGGTGAGTGCTGTGAGGACGGGAAATCGTGCTCGTTCAGAGCAGGTGAAGGCCCTTGATAGAACTCGCTAAAAAGAAACAAGAAGCAGTTATTAATGTAGGGTATAGATGAGGGGTTTCCCTAGACGATAAAACACATGTTGCGTGAATAGTACTAGCATGTAGCTCGCCACCCCACGCATAAAAATGCCAATGACTCACCGCTTTAATCTCCTCCACATCTGATGGGCCCGAGCCCAGTCTGTTGTTCGTATTCCGTCGCAGCAGCTTCCTCAGTAGATCCTTGGCATTGTCCGAGAGATATGGTGGTGTCCGCAGCACACCCTTCAAAATCTTCTCCATAGTTCCCTTCCTATCATTACATACAAACGGAGGCACTCCCACCAGAATATCATACATAAGAGCGCCCAGACTCCACCAGTCTACTGATCTGTCGTGGCCTTGCCTTGTCAGAATCTCCGGTGCCATATATTCAATTGTACCGCAGAATGTGTGAGTGCGCACTGTGTCAGTGATGGCTTCTTTGCTCAGGCCAAAATCAGTGAGTACGGCATGTCCTGTGATAGTGATGAAAGTGTAATAATTACTTTGGAGTGCTTCTATATAGAAGAATAAGATAGTAGGCTCAAATATACCAGAATTAAAACCAGCTACTTGCAATTGCGGAAAAATCTGCATGACGAATTTATTCTGGCTAGCATCTTGCTTGGAACATGAGGATAGAGTAGTCATAGGCTCGTTAAACGTTGTAGAAGAAACTGAATACGAGTTGTAAACATTACACATCGATACAGCAAGGCAATTGCTGACATCGAATACATACCGTATTCATCTAATATTATGTTCTCCGGTTTGAGATCTCGGTAGACAATACCGAGACTATGTAAGTGACCAAGCGCCAAGAGAATCTCTCCCAGGTAGAATCTTGCAACGTCTTCCAGTAACACGCCTGTATTACGATAGATTATCGAGAGTCAGTGGTTGGATACAGTACGAAAGAGCAATGGCACAATAAACTTAGTTGCCGTCGGAAATCTCTCAGTCGAAAAGCATGGCGAGGGTTCTCAAATCACAATATTTAGTCGCCACTAACGCTATTGACGTTAATGCTATCAACACACGAAGGAATAAATTGGATTTTGAAGTGATACCTTCTTTCTCCAAGAACGTAAAAAGCTCCCCTCCCGGAAGGTACTGCAATATCAGGTAGAGCTTGCCACCGGTCTGGAACGCATATTTTAAGTTTACGATGAACTGTCAGGGTATAAATAGATTTTGTTGTGAGTATCTAATAGCTCAATGCGAGCTCTCAAGAAGCACAATCGGCGGCTTATGTATATCATTTTGTAGGAATAGCGGTTTATGCCGACAGCCGAGCTAGGTAAAGGCCACAGATAATAAACTGCTATAAACAAGCAAATTCGAATGTATCATTCCAATACGCACCAGATGAACAACTACTTCTAGAACATACCGGATGAACGACTTCCTCTAAAACACTCCTTTCGGTCTTGATGTGTTCTGTATCTTTCTGTTTCCGGACGATGGTCGCCTTCTTCAGTACTTTCATGGCGAAATACTCGCCCTGCGTGCGGGCACCCGTTACTTTCCGAACAAGAAACACCTATACAAATGTATAGACATGCACAGACACAGAGAATCAGGAGGCTGTCAACATTTATGTGTACTAGTTAAAAAGAGTGAAGAAGTTGCATCAGTAGAACAATGGTCGATAATCAACAGGCTTGATGTTACATAAAAGTGAAGCCTTCACAGCTGATATAACCAGTTTACATATGTGCTTCAGCATTAAACTTGCACAAAATTAAGCACAAACACTTTCATAAGTTGTCACTGTAACGGTGCCTTGTTTCACGTACCTTGCCGTACCCTCCTTGGCCCAGAACTTTAAGTAATTCGAACGATGTAGGACCGACCTTCTCCCGAGGCGCCTTCTTATCCATACCCAAGGCATCTATTAAAGACGTCGCAGTCACAGAGTATCCAGCCTCTGTTCTGGGCGGCATATCGAGATCCTCTAACTGGTTCTGCAATAGAACGAAACCAGCCCGGGTGAGCAAGGAAGTTAAATACCGGTGAGCAGCTCCATGAATTTCAAAATCTTTTACGCAAGGATACGAGATAATGGAGTACATGCTATATATAGGAAAATTGAATGAGCGTATACACACATATACTTCATCAAATTTACAAACAAACACGAACAAAAACCCAAACACGCATATATATATATATATACATTATGTATATATTTATAATATACAGATGTATACATATGCATAGACATATATATATATATATATACACACATATAAATACATTATGTATATATTTTATAATATACAGATGTATACATATGTATAGACATATATATATATATATATATGTATGTGTGTATGTATGTGGATACACACATGTATACATAC